GAACTTAAATTAAGTTACCGTATTGGGTATATATAGTAAATAATAGGGTTTCCCCAATATAGTAACTTAACTTAAGTTCCTTGACAGCAACCCAGATTATCATGAGCGTTGGGATGGGCCAAAAACAGGAAACCGCGAAGCCAGCGGTGCAATTCGAGTTGATTTTTCCCAGCATTGGGTAAAAAAGATGTAGCTGGAGTTTGGGAGTGCATTTTTCCTCTGGTCTGCGCCGCCTCCTTCTTTCGAGCGAGATTTCCTGCAAGCCACACATCCGATTGAGCTTTGGCCTTGGCCAAAAAGTCTTCAAAGGTGAGTTCTGTAACGCGTTTTTTCCTCTTCAGGCCTCAACGCATCATTCTCAAACATCGATTTTCTTTTAAGGCTTGCCTTTACCTTAAACTCGGGGCTGTCGATGGTGTGACCCATGCTAAGCCAAGGCCCCTCTGAGTTTCTAAAAACAAGGATTCCTTACCTAAACCCTAAACCCTAAACCAAGGGATCCGGAAAGAAATCCCTCTTTACAGCTGGGTAGGCCAAAGGCCAAGTCATCCTCCCTAGTTCCCTAAAACTGTTATTGCGGTTATCATGAAAACTTCTCGGAGTTTGCTTGCCTAGTCTTGCTGGGGGTTGGTAGGGAATAAGGGAATATATTTTATAGGGGTTACATAGAACCTTAAACCCTAAACCCTAAATCCTAAACTCAGCTTCGCAGAGGACTTCGATCCCAGAGACAGCCACCACTGTTTTACTGGGCGAATGCACCCATGGCACTGAGGAGTTCTACCAGATTCGTGCCGAGTGCCATGGTAATATCCCGCTAGAGCAGTTGAATAGGGTCACACCTTGTAGAACGCATGTATGTCAAATGTTGTTTGGGCCTACGTAGTTTTTAAAAGAGAACATGCTCGGCTACAGGGTTAGAGGTGGCTGCATGCAAAATTCATACACTAAGGATCACCAAGTATCTGATGCAAACAAGAGGCTTCAACATCATCCTGTGTGAAAGTGACTGGACCTTTATGTGGCATGTGAACCAGTACGTGCATCGCAAGAAGAGCAACATGTTTCCAGACTCAACGAGATTCCCGGCCACTTGGCTTTGGTTTAAGGTTTAGGTTTTAGGGTTTAGGGTTTGGGGTTGAGGGTTTGGGGTTTGGGATGTAGGGTTTGGGGTTTAAGGTTTAAGCCCTTCACGCAGGCTTGGGGGGTAGACTTTTCGGTTTTTGTTTTTGCACTTGATGGGAAAAAGGGCACACTGTGACTCTAGAATCTTTCAGGACTTACTGGTGGATGGTAGCGAACAAGGGAAGATAAGCCATTTAGATTTTCCAACAATCGGCTTCTGCAATTGCGACTGCCTGTGGCCTTTGTGAATACATGCTCATCCTGTTTCGCTGGCAATGTGTGATTCTGCCACTACTACAACGACAACGGCTAATTGCAACAGCTGCTGCTACCATGACTGACCATAACTAAGATGTCCAGAGTTCCTGGTGTATCTGGTGTCAACAATGTTCTTGTCAAGGGTACCGCTTGCAATGCCGAAGCTGTGGGTATTGTCGTTTTTTTTGCAGAGTGTCTCTGCTGTAGTACGAAGACTCCCAACAGCTTGGACTGCGCAAGGATTGGATGTGGAAGAATCGACCTTTCTACGAGTTGGTGGAATGGATGCGAAAGCGGGCTTCTTCGGATGGTCCCTATGTCTTTGGCATGGATTGCTATTGCAAAGAAGAGGCCAAGGAGGAGGTTCTCAATTTCTTTGACTTCTACGATCGCGATAATCTCGGCAAGGACTGTGCTTCCAAAATGATGAAGCGTAGGAAAACCAGGCAAAAATTCTAACAGATTTGCAAAACATGAAAATCATCTTGGCAACCTCGGAAAGTGCAAAAGCACAATAAATCCAAGCCAAAAAAAGAGAAGGACTTTGAAAGAGGAGATTTCTTCCAAGAATGGAAATACTGGAAACACAAATGCTTCAACAAATCAACCAACACAGTAATCAAAATAGGTTCGGCAAAGACTCGTAAAGAAAACTGTAACAACCAAGGCTCGATCTGGCGAAGTTCTTCCAAGTTCCCGTTTTCTTTTTATTGATTACATGATTAATTAACTAATTTCTTTTTAGTCTAGAAATTAGGAAATTCAATTTTTCAAGACAAAGAGAAAGAGAGGGGAAGCAGGCAGCACAAGCAAAAAAGGGTAGGCAAAACGAGAAGACAATTGAAAAAAGGAACCAACAAAGGAACGACCTTTAAAAACCCAGGAAAGGAACAGAACAAACAAAGTGGATAGTTGAGATTGACAAACTAGAGGTGTCCATTCTGGCTATTGTTTGCTTGATTTTTGTTGTTCTCCTAGTTTATTGCATTTCCAGCGTTAGCTCAACATCTGCAGCGTAAGTGCCCCCCACCCCCCCGCAGATCGCCTATCATTGGCATTCCGCATTCACTCGAAGATTTCAACAGATGCAGAAATTGTAGCCCTAAACCCTAAACCCTAAACCCCAAAAAAAACCTTAAACCCTAAACCCCTAAACCCTAAACCCCAAAAAACACTAAACCCTCTACCTGCACCTGGGCTCTTACAGGGAACCGCAGTAGTTTTCCAAGTCTGAACCTGCGCGATAACCTGTGGGGTTGTTAAATTCTAGGGTTTAGGGTTGTTACATCTACTGTCAGAGTGGCTATGCTTGCCGAAATCCCAGCATGGCATACGGGAGGAATACTTACGGTTCAACAACAAAACATCACTATCCCGTCAAAGAGAGGAGTTCCGCCGAACCTTGTATCCAGTGGAACAGCCCGACAGGTCCCTGGCAGCATGCAATGTTTTTCCGTGGAGCCAGGTTGTAAGTGCCAGGGTCAAAGCAGGCTTATCTGCCTGATTGTTATAATTGCGTGTTGGTGCTGCCGTGACTGTTCAATTTGGGGCTGGAGCCATTTCGCATGTGTCCGTGTTCCAGCCAGCATCATATCAAAGTCTTGGAACCTGCCAGCAGAAGTAGCAGCAAGAACTTGTCAAGTTCGGTCGCCAGGAGCACCCAATCAACAGCACTTTGTCCAGGAATCGTCTCTGATTCACAGGGTCACAGAACGCCATGAGTTTGGGGCTCGTGCCCCGATCATGGTCAGCTGCTGCCCTCCCTCCACCAACTAAGCACAGAGGGTTTCACTTGCGTGGCCCACCGGCCCCGGCCCGGCGCCTCAGTCGTGCGGCGCAGTCGGACGATCGGGGCGTGAACATTACGGATCTGACAGATGTCACAGATGTCCATGAGCCCGTGAAGCACGAGGAGCCTTGGACACTGCAGCAGCTCATCTCGATCGTGAGCGGCTTCATCGGGTCAATCCTTTCGTTGAATGCTTATTCGCAGCTGCGAGAGGCCACCAAGCAGCGCGAGGCCATCGCTCGTGTGAACACATCTCAGCGAGCTCAGTCAAGCAGTCTGAGCACCTATAACAGGAATGCACGGATTGTGCAGCAGTTGCTGGGTTGCTGTTAAGGAACTTAAATTAAGTTACTATATTGGGGAAACCCCATTATTATTTATATATACCCATTATGGTAACTTAATTTAAGTTCCTTAACAGCAACCCAGGTTGGGTGGGTCTTTACTGGATGCGGAAGCCGAGTCGCCCCTGTTCTCCCTGGGCCCAGTGCCAGCATGTACTGCAGCTTCAAACCTGCAGCTGGGTTGCTGTTAAGGAACTTAAATTAAGTTACCCTAATGGGTATAGGTATACATATATAGTAATTATAGTAATTAATCTGGTAGTTTTCCTGAATAAGGGGACCCCAATATAGACCCTAATATGCTATAGTCCTTGTTATGGGGACCCCCAACAAGGTACCCCTAATTATGGGACCCCCCATATGGTTTCTCCAATGTAGCAACTTAATTAAGTTCCTCCCAAACCCTAAACCCTAAACCCTAAACCCTAAACCAGCAACCCAGGCAGGGGGCAGACCGCCACTTCACGATCATTACCACCGCAGCGCTTCCATGGCGAACCGGGACGGCAGTGAACCCACTGTTACTGGGTTGCTGTTAAGGAGATTTAATCTAAGTATATTTAAGTTACTACATAGGGGAAACCACATTAATCAGCATATATATATATATGTAACTTGATTTAAGTTCCTTAACAGCAACCCAGGTTACGGGCGCTGTACTTGGCCAAGCGCGGCAAGCCTGTGGTCCTCTTTCTGCCCTTCTTGGAGGGGGAACGCGATCAGGGCTTTGTGTTTCCCAAAAATGTGCGCTTCGATTCTCCCGAGGAGCAGGAGGTTGTGGTCAGGGAATGGTGCCAGGAGCGTGCCAAGGTGAATCTTGACACCATGGACCTGAAGTTCCGGTGGTACCCCGCCAAATATGTCGTGTCAGTTGGGAGCATTTTTCCAACCGGCGACTGCACCAAGAGCATTGTGGACTCCGACCCCAAGGATGTCTTAATTCTGGAGGAGCCGGAGCACCTCTGCTGGTTTCATTACGGTCAGCGCTGGCCGGACATTTTCAGACATGTCATTGGCATCGTGCACACCAACTATTCAGACTACATGAACATTGTCAACTCATCCTCGAGTTCCTGGGTTGTTGTTAAGGAAATCAGTTATATTGGGGAAACCATATTAACTACCACATTTACCCATTATGGTAACTTAATTTAAGTTACTATGTTGGGGGAGCCCTATCAAGTACTCTATATGTATATACCCATTGTGGTAGCTTAATCTAAGTTTTTAAACAGCAACCTAGGTTGGATGGCGGGCACCATGCCGGTGGAGTTCAAGGAAGCCTCCGTATTTGCAGCGTCCACCGTTGTGTGCAGTGCCTACTGCGATGTGAATATCAAGCTGTCAGACACCATCATGCCGCTACCCAACGAGGTGACGTGCAATGTCCATGGTGTGAGGTGGCTCTGGATCTCATGGTCTAAGCTTTGAAATGTTTCTGTTTACATTGCCACATGCCCTACATAATTCTAACAGGTATTTTTTGCCTTTACGTTGTCTACGGACCTTAACGCACGTTGCAGTGGCGACTTTCCGCGTCCCTGTCTGAGAGCCCCCAGGTCTGACTTCCTGGACATAGGAGACAGGACTGGGATGGTTAAGACTGGGATGGGTTTAGGGTTTAGGGTTTAGGGGGTTACCCTAAGCCCTACACAACCCCACAGGAGTGTGAAGAGATTTGGGCATGTGCCTTTTGCACAGAGACTATGTTCGGGTGCTATGACTTACAGTAGGTCCTGGGCAGTCCCAGGAGCCCGGGTAGCTACATGCCCCTGTGACTCTTTTCTCTCTCCGGTTAAGGGTTGAGGGCTTAGGGTTGTATCATGCAGACTTTGGTATTTCTTCCGAGCCAGTTTGAGGACACCTCACTTTCAGGGATATATTTGCCAGCTCCTGGTTCAAAAGGGTTGTATCATTTCGTGAAATCCTCAACCCGCTTATCCCCAAGTTGTGTTAGAGTTGTGACGCCCCCACACTCTGGCCTGTTTGCCGCTAACGCCTTTGCCTGCAGGAGCCACACACAACGCGAGGGCGCCGCAAAGGCTTACTACCTTGGGAAGGCCTGAGATGCACTACTATTCATATTACGATTATTTACCATTGTTTACTATAACTATTGTTGGTACTCTTGCTAGTATTATTATTATTATTGCTATTATTGTTACTATTTAGGGGTTTAGGGTTTAGGAGCCTAACAAGATCATGGCCCTAGGTTCCCTTGAACAATTATGGTATAGGACACCTTAAGGAGACCTTGAAAGGATGTTACGTAGTCATGAGACACTTGGGCTTTGCAGTAGGTTACGTGTCAACGATTCCAGCTGGCCATTACCCGAATGCTGGTGTTATCTTCAGTAGAACCATTGGTGTGCATCATTGCTGTGCGCGCTTTATTGAGGGGATTGCCGGGTACAGACTTGACTGACCGCAGCAGTGCGTTTTCTTCATCCAACTTTGTATTCATACAAGTATTACTGTTATGATTCTTACTACTATACCTAATGTTGCTAATATTCAAAATGGTAGTTTCCCAAAATAGGAGGACCCCAATTTCGACCCTAAAATACTATAGCCCTTATTATAGGGACCCCCAAATAGGTACCCATAATTTTGGGAAACTTCCAAATAGTATCACTACTAGCTCTTACAGCAAAAGCACGGCTGCAGCCCCTGCCTTCAGCTCGCCCTAAACCCAAAATATGAGCCCATCGCGACCCTCTTGGCATCCCCAGACCGGAGGGGGGGTAGGGGTGGGCTTTTTGGGGTTTAGGGTTTAGGGTCTAGGGTTAGGTTTAGGGTGTTTGGGGATCAAGGTTTAGGGTTCAGATGGGGTTCAGGGTCAGGGTTTAGGGCTTAGGGTGGGGTATTTCCAGAAGTAGATGTCTCCAGTCTATGCACCCAAAGCAATACAACATCCTCATCCTTTCAGCTCCCCAGATCTGAGAAATACTGTAATCTATCTTTATGCATCCCCCACAGATCCCCATTTAAAATTGAAATCCCTCCATTCCATAGTTTGAGAGAAAATAGGGAATCCAAAAACCCCATAAGCTGCCTAGACCCTGAACCCCCAGAAGCTTCATTAGTTTTTTTAAAGCCCCGCAAGTGCAGCCAGGCGCTGTATCCAAAGGGATGGCGCGAGCTTTTGGACCTGACCCTTGTAGGATTTAGGCTTTAGGGTTTTAGGGTTTTAGGGCTTAGGGTCTAGGTTAAAGGGATCTAGGAGTTAGGGTCTAGGCCCACATGCGCAAGGGTTTAGGGTTTAGGATTTGTGGTTTGGGGTTCAGGGTTTAGGGTTGCAGCTTGTTGCCTCTATGGGAAGTTGTTAAGGCTGTTAAGTGCAGCTCGCAGCTTGTTTTAAGGTTCTTGGTGACTCATGGTTGGCTGTGGTACTGTAGCATACAAAAAGGTGACATGCGGGCACGTACAGTGAGCTATGTGAGATTTGCGGCCAGATAGGGCTGTGCAGGCCCCGCTTTTATTGGCACAGCCCAAACCACAAGCCCAACAGCAATATTGGCAATGCTTGAACCCTTAAGGGCCATAAAGTTCAAGTGATAACTTGGTAATCTCAACCTGCCAAATAAGGACCCTACAGCGGTCACATGACTCTGATACCCTTCCTTATTACATAACCCGTATGTGAATTCAGTTTGGAATTCGTTTTCCGTTTTCGTTTCCATTTCGTTCTCCATTATTTGGGCTTATCTTCTTACGAAAATCCTCACCCTTAACTCTAAACCTCAAATCCTAAACTCTAAACTCTAAACCCTAAACCCCAAACCCTAGTCCTCCTCATGATTCAGGATCACCACAGCTGGTCCTGACCTGGCCGGAATCAAAGTGGATGGCTACGGGTCAGGCCTTTTTTTCATCATGACCTCATATTCCAGGTTAGGGTTTAGGGTCCAGGGTTTAGGGTTCATGGGATTTAGGGGTTATAGGGGGTTTGCAGGCGTAGAGGGATGATGTAGGTGCTATGTAGGGATAGTCAAGGGTATATAGGAGAAATGGAATCGAAAGTGGAAGCTACTATTTAGGGTTTAGGGTTTAGGGATATTGCCGGCAATAATGGAACGCTAACTGCAAAAGAAATGGAGAATGAATGCAAAATTGGGTTTATATCGTTTTCAGAGTCGGGAGTTTCTTCACGCGCCGGCCCTTAGTGTAGTTAGGGATGCAAGGGATATGCAGGGATTACATCGGAAGCGGTTGGCAGATATTGATCAGTCGTAGTGGAATAATAGTCATAGACGTACCACAAATTTCTGAATCGATTTCCCTGGTTTGGGAGGGTGGAGTGCTCAGGGTAGTGCCTACGAGGCGGGCTCATGGGGCGAGGTAGGAAAATACTTCTGTCGATTCTCTAGTACAATTTTCAAGTGATTCAGTAGATCGAGTCTTCGATGAAGCAGTTGCCCTGGGTTTCACTCAGTTCAAGCACCTCATGTATACGAAAAACGGCGGCCATACCGGTTGCGTGATGTTAGCCGGCTGTGTTGCTATTATTGCAGAAATGGCGACAGATTTATGCTGAGGGTCATGATGATCTCGATTCAGTTTTGTGAGCATTGCCATGGCGGTGTGACAGTATGATGTTACAGCTATTGCTATCGCATTTGCCATGTTGCATCAGTTTCATTTTGCTACTGCTATGAGCATGGCTGTCATTATTACATGGATTTTTTTTTATTGCTGTTAGTCTTGCACTAACAGCATGACTATCAATAGCCTCCCCCAATGCGTAAACACCCCGCTAAGGACAGATATTCCCAATGTAGCGCCTAAATCCTAGTAGCATGAAAATACAGTAGTTTTCACCGTTTTCTTTTGCATTCGCATATGTAAATATACGTATATTAATCTCCTTATTCTTGCATTCGCATATGTAGATATACGTGCATGTATCTCCTTAGTAAACCCCATGAAAAAGCGACTAGTCTGCACAATCCCTATAGAACTCCAGCTTCCATTTGATTTTGCGATTTTCTTTCCAATTGATTCTCCATTACTAGTTTATTTAAGCCCTTTACATAACACTTATACACCTGAATAATCCCTTCATTTTGAGGGGCTGACTAGGTCCTAAACCCAAACGCCTAAACCCCAAACCCTGCGCGTTCCTAAACCCCAAACCTCAAATTCAAACCCCAAGCCCTACACCCTAAACCCTAAACCCTGAACCCCTAAACCCCACACCCAAAAAACCCTAAACCCTGAACCCCTAAACCCCACACCCAAAAAAACCCTAAACCCTGAACCCCTAAACCCCACACCCTAAACCCTCAATGCAGGCCCAGACTTTGAGAGCATTCTGAAGGAGACCGCGGCCCTGTCCGAAGAAGCTGGGTTGATAGCAAGGAATGAGGGTTTAGGGTTTAGGGTTTAGGGTTGAGGGTGTAGGGTTTAGGGTTAAGGGTTTTGGTTTGAGGGTTTAGGGTTAAGAACTTTGGATTAGGTTACCATGGTGGAGACTCTTATGAAAATTCACTGGATAGTGACATCGAAGCTGAGGTTACACAGGGGTCTAAAGGAACCACATTGACATTGTGCTCTTTATACCCCTATTATAGTAACTTAGCCCTAGACCCTACAGAGCCCCACATAACCTGCACAACCTCTTTCAAGAGAACCCATATTAAGTATTGCAAGTTAATTTGAGTTTCTTGAAAGCAACCCAGGAAGGGGCGCTGATCAACATGAACCCTGGCATCGACCACGCCGACCAGAAGATTCACGGGTATGGCGTCCTGGTCAACCCCTCCACCACGGATGTGTTATGCACGGTTCTTCGGCAGAAGCAAGAGCATGTAAACACAAGCTTGAGCAAACGCCTGGAATTTTTATGCAATCCTTTGGAGCTGGCCTGCAGGAAGGGGAATAGTCACCATTTGTAAAACAACATGATTTCCTGGCCCCCTAGGTCAGTGTGGAAGCGCTTGCAATGGGAAAGCATCTGGTGCTAGCTCGCCATGTATCCAATCAGTTTTTTGAGCAGTTCAAGGCCGGGCGTTCTATAGGGGCATTTAGGTTCTACAAAGGAATGGACAAGAAAATGGGAAAGTATTAAGTACTTTATGGTTAAGGCTCTGTAGGTGTCCATCAGTTTTCCGAGCAGTTCAAATCAGGCATGGATCCTTGTGGCAGGGCTGTTTCGCTGGTAGTTTTTTGAGGCGGCCCTGGCCGCATGCTTGAAGTATATGCACATATTCTTGATAGATATACAGCAAGAATGGAGCACCATTCCTTAACCTCTGATTGTCTTTTAGAGCCTAACGTTGGAAAATCAACCTAGGATAGGTTCATGGGCGGAATCATTGTGTGAGAGGAAATTGTCAGGCCAAGGCTTGTTTTGGTTACATTACAGATGGTTGAAACAGAAATGAGGGAGGCGTGGGCACGGCAATCTCTGGAGCTGCACCCTGGCTGAAATGCTCCTTGCCCTGGTAGGACAGATGCCACTTCTTTGAGATTGGTGATGCTGACAGCTTTGTGAAGGCGTTCAAGGCCGCCCTAGCTGCAGGCGCGGCACAAACAGTAATGAAAGTTTTGACTGACCCGTGCTTCTTCTTCTCCTTAATCATCATCATCATCGTCAGTACCACCAATGGGTGCATCATGTTGCAGTGGCGGTGAATTCTTTAGGCAACATGCCTGGCAACGGCTTAATGCATCCAGAGTAGTGAGTAGAGACACGCTGAGGTCAAGAAACCAGGTAGAAGAAGCTGTTGGACACAAGTAAACATTGATTTTTCAATATTGTAGATCCGTTCCTCCAATTCCTGCTGAACACCACGGATGATCCCTATATAGTCATATAGTCCCTATATCCTTTGGAGTCACGGAACAATTCCTATGTAATGGGTCCCTGCGAAGGCGACCCGAGCCCACTTCCTCCGGAGCAACGCCGCATCCTAACCTGGGACGCGGCCGTCGACCGACTCTTTGACTCTGCTGAGGCTGCCTGGGGCTATACGCCCCCTTAAGTAGATAGAATATGGGGTATATGGGAATCTTATTGTGATATTGGGCAAGTC